GGACTGCGATTTTAGAATGGAATTTACGCGATCAATAACACCGATAAAGTGGAGCAAGTAAATAAGATTGGACCGTTTTTGGAAAATTTCTTCAATAGCTCGAAGCAGGTTTTCACACAAACCCCCTTCCCTAACCTCATCGAACCCCATCATCAAAATGGGCAACAGTCGAAGGCACAACCAAGATATCCGTCGCTCCGAAGAGCGGAGGAATGCATTTGACACCGTCCAATGGGCCTCCTACAACAAGAAATTAATTTTTTAAGCAAAAATTTCCGCTTTCAAACATGAAGAAGTCCTAAATGCGAAACAATTTTGGACTCAGAGTTGTAGGCATTCCAGTAAGCCAAAATGAACATTCCAGTGTTTGTCTAGGTCAGATTATGTAACCAAGCAAGATTTCTGACGTGAAATTTCTTACATTTTCACGTGAGGTAATCTAGCGGAGAACTCACTTTTTGAGTAATGTTCTTGTCTCTTAATTCAGGTGTCTGAATTTACTAACAATGAAAGTTTAGAAGAAATCTGAGACAGCAAAAATGTGTAATTTGATCTTTGTTCTTAAAATTTTTTCGTATTTATTACAGCTTTTCAGGCGCAGAAGAATTGGCCGAATTATGAATTTACCAATAAAAACTGAAGAAGCGTGCTCGTACAAACCTTTGCTTACATGCCTTCTTCAGATAAATCTGAGTTCGGAATGCAGGTAGAAAACCCGGGCTTTAAGCGCCAACTAAAGTTCTGGTAGTGGAGACGGTTGGAAAAATTTAATTTGATCAGCTTAAATCTGATCAATCTTTTCCACGAATGAGTCTCAGTTTCAATTTTTTCAAAAACATTGTTCATTTTTGATGTGGAGGTTTGTTTCTATTTTTTATTACAGGGGTGTCATCAGTTTTAAGGATTTTCAAATGCTACACAGTTATAGAACTTTTTTACCTATTCTGGTAAAAAAGAGCAGTCGCTATTGGATTTCGGGGATGCTATTAGTGGAAAACTTTTCGAATTAATCAGACAGTTCAAGATTTAGTCCTGCTTAACAGCAGCATTTACCAGTTGACTAAATAACTTTTTTACTTACTCCGTAACTTCGTTGTTTGCTGGTGATTGAAGTGCTTCTAAGAGTTTTTTGCTAGTTATTTTTGAAATTTACGCTGAACAAGCGGGGCTGTAATTTGTCGTATATTTCTTTGACGAGGGAACGGGTCCTATGATGATGAAAGTCTGAATCAATTTGCGCTCATAGAAGTTCCATCCTACACTACCGGTTTGAATTGAGAAATTATTAATCATTTTTTTATGAAACGGTAAAGAAACAAAGGATAGGTTACTAGATAGGTTGGCAAATTAGAAATTATGTAGTGACCTTAATTGTAAGACCTTTTTTAGTGTATTTATTGGATTGTTTTTGTAAGTGTAGGCTGAGTGTGTAGCGTCCCCTGTAACAAGTGTTTGCAAAGCTTTTTCAAAAAAATCCACAGAATGATTCTGCAGATCATGTGCAAATTAAGTTCCATTCATAATTAGACGGAACTAGAGCAGTGGCAGAAATACTTTAGATGCCTGCACCAAAATTTTTCATTTGCTCGCAAGTTTTCCGCAGTCTCGTTAATTTCTTGCACTCTTCGTGTCACACTGCCTCCAAGTACAAATATCTACAGCCTGGAATCCCTCGTAGGAACGAGAAGCACCTGTCTGTTCTTGAAGCAAGACGGTGCTTTCCTTGGTATATGGAGGGATAGACGGATAATAACAAAGTGTGTGTTACTATGATAGAATATTCTGTTAGCAATTACCT